TTTTTTTAAACATTGGGAGAGGTCAGTCAGTATTCTCTACTCAGTTTGGTTTTTTTAGTAACTGATTATTGATAAGTTCCAGGGAAAAAAGCTTATTCCTGTTGATAGAAAGTGCCAATTCAACAGCCACTGAATTCCCATTATGTTGTCCAAGAGATTTCAACTTTTGTTTATCTCTTTTCCTTAAGTGCCTTTACAAAGTACATATTTATAGATCTTACAGTATGTTTGAATTTAAAATTGATTATCTTCAGTCTTTCAGACTCTTGAAGCATATTCATAGTAGTCTCAACCATGGTTTCAGCCAAGTGGACAAATAAAAACATATATTGGATTGCTAGTTTTGAGTTCAGTGAATAGAGTTACAGAAAAATTTGCTAACTTCAGTGTGCTTAGGATTAAGCTTTTAGGTCAAATTTTATATTTGTAAAACTTTTTCTTTATAATTTGGTGTTGTGGTTTTTGATCATGTATGAGTTAGAATTGTATGTATTGGTTCTGATAATTTTTCTGCCAGTAGCCAAAACTCCATGTACATTTCAGGTCATTGCACATCATGCAGCTGATGCTAATGTGATTTGTCATTGCAAAAATATAACTGCCTGCATCTCTTGTTATTCTGAAAACTGTCATATGATTGTTTAAAAATATTGTTAAATGTTATAACTGTTTGGCTTGAAGTAACTAATGCAAACTTCACTGCAATTGGTTGTACTGTACTACAGTGTGTTTATACCTTTTTTTCATTGCTTTAGCTTCCCTGCTTCCCCATGTGTGCTGCTGGAGTTCATTTTGATACTTGTGGTATCATGACTTCAAGTCTCAAATGAATTCTTCAGTCGGATTGCATATGTAGAGTACAATTAGATGTGTGAAAGCATTAAATAAAACTGCATCTATCTGACAATCTTACCTGTTCATGTGGGAAAATTATGATGTTGATCTACAAAGACTGCAGACATATTTCTCCAGTGTTATTTCTGCTAATTAGTTCAATATGTGGAGGTTACAGTGCACTGATGCTTACCATTAAATTATAATTCACTGTTATACAAAACTGAGAATGTTAAAGAAAATTGCTTTGTAAAATTAATTATGAAATCTGATAAATTGTTCCTTTTTTTCTTTGCTTTTTGCTTTTATTCTTTTTTCCTACTGCTTCCTCTGAAGTCTCCTACCAAATGGTTTTGGAAACTGGTTCCTGTAAGTTTGCTCAACTGCTTTACTTTGATCAAAGAGCTTATTTTGGGAATGGCTTTTTCCATGTCATGCTGGTCTAATCATTAATTTCATTTATCTCTACAAGATAATTTTATAAGAAATTGCTCTGCAAAGGTGTGCATAAAATAGAAGCTTATTTTGCAACGTAATCTGTGCAAAATGTAAGATGTGATGCTGGATAAGGAATTACTTTTCAAGCAGTAAAATACTCTGTGGGTTTGTATAAGACAGTGCTACCTGTTATTAACTACTGTGAAATGATCAGGTTTTTTGCAAACTTATGCTATCTCATACTGACTCTCTTTTTAAAAGAGACTTGCAGAAATAGTTTTTGATTGTTGATGCTACATGGAATCTGAATTTTTCTGATTTATTTTAACAATATGCAATCATTATTCCATTTGTCTAGAATTCCATAATTTTTCAGCAGTTTTAAGACTGCTGTTCATCTCTCCACACACAAAGTAACCAAAAGCAGTCTACTTTTAGTGAGACTGTAATTTTACTAAAAGCAATAAAAAGTAACTGTTCAGGTCTGCAATAATAATAAAGTTTGTTTTCTCTGTGCTGTGTTACCTTGGGATTATCATTACTTTCCTTATATAGTAATTCACCCCTGAAATGCATTCAGATTGTTTATTCTTGTCGTGGTTTAACCCCAGCCAGCAACTATGCACTATGCAGCTGCTCACTCACTACCCCCCACCCAGTGGGATGGGGGAGAAAATCGGGAAAAGAAGTAAAACTCGTGGGTTGACATAAGAACAGTTTAGTAGAACAGAAAAGAAGAAACTAATAATGATAACACTAATAAAATGACAACAGCAGTAATAAAAGGATTGGAATGTACAAATGATGCGCAGGGCAATTACTCACTACCTGCCAACTGACACCCAGCTAGTCCCTGAGTGGCGATTCCCCGCCCCCACTCCCCAGTTCCTATACTAGATGTGACATCCCATGGTATGGAATACCCCGTTGGCCCGTTTGGGGCAGCTGCCCTGGCTCTGTCCTGTGCCAACTTCTTGCGCCCCTCCAGCTTTCTCGCTGGCTGGGCATGAGAAGCTGAAAAATCCTTGACTCTAGTCTAAACACTACTGAGCAACAACTGAAAACATCAGTGTTATCAACATTCTTCACATACTGAACTCAAAACATAGCACTGTACCAGCTATTAGGAAGACAGTTAACTCTATCCCAGCTGAAACCAGGACAATTCTACAACAGGTTTGGCTTGGGAACAAAATAGTCAGTTGTTTAGGTATGTGCAGAATTGCATACTTCTGGTCTGAATTCCAAAGAACTAATTCTGATCTAGCTTTGATCTAAGCATTACCAAATAACTGATCTAGCAGGCCCTCAGATATTCGTTGTCATACCTAGTAAAAGATTGTTCATACACTGCAAAGAGAATTAAAAAATAACAAGGGAGTTGCATGTAGGCAACAACAAAAATTACTTGGCGTCTGGAAAACCAGTTTAAAAGTACTGTCTTCAGCAGACTAATCAGTTTTCAAATTCATAACAGTTTATGCTATCCAGGCAATTTCTCTATAATGTTATTACAGTTGTGACACACAAATACACTGCTCTTCACACTATAGTCCTTTAATTTTGTTCTGGAGTTAAGATAGTGTAATTAAATGGAGGGAATAATGCAGAAAAAAAGAACTGTCTGTGATGAGAAATTTAAGCACATTTTATTCTTTTTGTCTCACTGGTACAAAATAAGGTGGCTACTTAAAAGCAGTTTCAGAATATGTTTTTGTTCTATTTTTGCCTAAGGTGTTAGTTTACTAATGATTCTCTTCCATTGCATAAAAATGATACTTAAATATAAAATGTTCAATGTATTGAAAAGCCAGCTCCAGTTTGCCTGCCAGTTGTCCATAAACAACCTGAAGTAGTGGTATTTATGTTACTTTGAGCTTGTTAGTTTAGTAAAGACACAGTTGAAACCCAAGTGCTACTGATAATATAGTAGGATGGCAGTGGCCCAAGCTGCTCTAACAGTTCAACCAGTCTTCTGATCTTTTCCCTTTACATAGAGCAAGCGTTTCGTAGTGAGATGGATATTCCTGAGCATACAGGCAGCTGAAAACTTACTTTAGGAAGTAAATTTATAACGTTATCAACTGTATAGTAAACACATAAGAGCATTCATTATTAATGATGAACTCAGAATACACGTGAGTACTTATGACAGAGTAGCTGGTGTGCTGTAGATTCATCTTTAGCTGACCTTCTTTATGTGCATATGTCTCAATTATACCTAGACTTGTTTAAGTGGAATAAGCTCAGAGATGCTAAATCAGGCTGGTTTAGGATCTCAGAAACAAGATGCTTGCATTAACACTTAAGTTTAAATTAGCGCTAGAGCTTTATAATAAATGTAGAGGTTCATCTTTTGCATTATTGCATCCATATTCACATAGCAACTGATGTGAAGAGTTTCTTCAAATGGAAGTTTGTTAAAAACACAGTGCAATTACCAGTGTCTTATTTTTCAGTATAATTTCTTTTATCTTTTCAACAAATTGAAACATGATGCCTGTTATACCCTATTGAACCTAGCATATCAGGTTATATACGTATATTTTTCCTGCAGTAATGTGCCTGGCATACTCTCTACAATGAATTAAGTCCACTTTTAGGTCCACTTTAATGATATGACACAGCTTCCAGCACCTGTGGGGAACTGTTCATAAGGTCAGTGAAGTCATCATTAAAGTGACAGTAGACTTTTTCACAGGATTTACTGTGCAATACCACTGTATTATCAATTTCAGATGTTTTTTAACACTCCCATTAAGAAGATGCTATTTAAAAGATTATACAAATTACACAGGGCTTGTTGGACTATGATGTTAGAGTCCGTCTGTATCCTTTATCTTTTACCATTATTCCATAATCAAATTGTAGTATTTCATAGACTTAATTTCAGTCATTTTGAGAAGGCAGTACATGAACATATCAATATGGTATTTGAAACTTACAGGATTTTCATCATGGTGGGTCATTGGAGTGCCATAGAGCAAAAACGAGCAAACTTTAACTGCAAGCATAATTGGCCTGCATTAGAAATAGTAGGGACTATTACTAATGTGAGGAAAAGTATTAATAATGCACGAACACTAACATAATTTTGTTTGGTGTTAGTATTTCCTATAGCATGCAAAAATGGCGTTTTCATTTCTATGTAGTATACTTGGCACACAAATACCAGTACATTTCAAGTATGAAGTAAAGAGTAACTCTCAGGGGTTTTTTACACATTAATTGCTTAAAGTATAAGTTCTCTAGGCCAAATCCAAGCCCTTTATTTTTCTAGAATTGATGTTTCTGCTGTTGCCAGATTAGACTCATAGTTCTTGGGCCAGTTAGAGGATACTGACATTCACTAAAGATAATCCCATATGATCCTTGACAGAAATCCAGTGACAATAAGCATAGCTTTCAGGCTTAGTCTGTGGTTCCACAGACTTTTTTGCCAGCAAAGCTAGCTTAAACAATTCCCATCCCACCCATAAAACCTCCAGCCCTGCCCACTCATTCACTGCAGAAACAAAGGAGGAGAGAGATGTTGTAGCTGTATCAATGGTCTTACCTTGCAGACCCATCAGCAATTGCTCCAGCACAGCCAAAAGGCGGAGAGTAGGAGATAGGAACTGTCAGCTTCAGCTTTGCTGGGAGCAGTAACATCCACGAAGACTTCTCAGAGTCCCTATATGGAAACTTCCAGTTTAGTGTGTATAGATGAATGAAAATAGTGTAAAATTAACTCAGAAACACTCTTGGCCTCATAAGTAGTTCTGTGATACAAATGGAAAAGTAATCCTTCAGTACTGTTATAAGAATAAGTCTTAGTAAATAATAGTAACAAATTAAAGTCTGTATCATGTTCTTCCACTTCCATTTGTTTTCCCAGGAAGAAGTGAAAAGAAACTAAGAATGATGAATACCAATTTTTTTTAAGTAAGCACCCCCCACACCCC